CCCCCCCCCACTTGTTTAAAAGTGAAAAAAGTGCCCTTTTTTCTGGACTAAAGTGCCCATTTAAGGAACAAAAAAAGTATTTCTTGAAAGAACCTCCTCTTTTGCTGGATAGAAAATGTCCTTTTTGCAGTAGTAAAGACTCTGTAAAGGCCATTTCCGACGTTATAGAGACCACAAGCGGCCCAATCTCGCAAGGGTCAGTATAGACTTACAGTATAAATTTATATTATATTAACTGTATATTATAGTAAAAATATGTCGTAAAATATAAATTTTAAAATGAAATTTACTTGCCTATTTGATAGTGTGTGTTCTCCTTTTATTCCTTCTTTGTTGGACTAATATTTTCCGAGACTTTGTACTCAATGTTACTATACTAGTAACATCGAGTACAAAGTCTCGGAAAATATTAGACCAACAAAGGAAGAATAAAAGGAGAACACACACTATCAAATAGGCAAGTCAATTTCATTTTAAAATTTATATTTTACGACATATTTTTACTATAATATACATTACTATAATATACATTTATACTATATTAGTCTATACTGACCCTTGCGAGATTGGACCGCCTGTGTAGAGACTTCATATTTTCAAACATTTTCGTTCGGCTCGTGAACGACACAAAATCGTTCGACTTTAATCATATACAAAAGTGCCCCTTTTGGCCTTTGCCCCTCCACTTTCAAAATGCTTCCGCGGCCTCTGTGGATGAATTTCGAAAAAATGCAACTATATAGACCTTCTAATCGAACCTGCGATTCCAATGCAGCGCTCTATTGCTCTAACGGTCTAACCAACTGAGGCTGGTCGGTTCATCAACTTCGTTGGCCTTGATACATCTATATGACAAAATTACATCGGCTATTGATCGAAAAAAGTTCACAGTTGTTATTTTTCTTAATCTTTCTAAAGCATTTTAAAATCACAACATTGATTTTGATAAACTTGAACATTATGGCATTCGAGGTGTGGCACTTGACTGGGTAAAGAATTATTTTTGTGATAGATTACAATATGTTCAATACAATGATTGCGTTTCTAAGTCAAACCTCATTCAATGTGGGGTGCCTCAAAGTTCAATCCTCGGCCCGCTACTATTTTTGTTATATATTAACGATATTTCTTGTGTTTCGAACGTTCTTGACTTAATTTTATTTGCAGATTATACAAATTTAGTTTATTCTCATAAAGATCTACCACATTTAACGAGTATATTAAACTGTGAAATGAATAAGTTGTCTGAGTGGTTTAAGGTGAATAAAGTCTCAATAAATATTGTTACGTACCAAGTTCGTTATAAGCTAAATTAGTTATACCCGAGATAAACTTAAAAATTTTATTTAAAACGCACGCATACACAGTACACACAGGGCCGTCCTCAGGAAATTCTTCAGGGGGGTGTTAATAAGGCCAATTCAACCGACTGGTTCAAAAAAATTTTTCCGGATCAGAAATTTTTGGTCGACCTCCCCCCCCCCCGTCGCCAAAAAAATTTCGGTCAGTGTACCATTTTAGGGGTCCAAAAATTTTTCCGGACATACAAAAATTTTCCGGAACATTCAAAAATTTTCCGAACATAACAAATTTTCAACATTTTTTTACATTTTTCCGAAATTTTTACATTTTTCATCAAAATTTTCCTAAAATTCCCACCATGTTCTTGCCCTTTGCGCCAAAAATATTTAACCCAAATAGCAGTTCTACCGACTCAATAGCAGTCCTACCGACTGAATAGCAGTCCTGCCGACTGAATACAATTACTGGGGGGGTGTCACACACCCCCACACCACCCCGTAGCTCCGGCCCTGAGTACACATATAACACAATATAATTACACACATATAACACACTCCCCCTCTTAAGTCCCAACCCGTCCCGGGTGGACTTTACTCTCACACACACAGTCATATAGTTACGTTCATCTTGAAGAAAGTTACTGTTCCAAACTCCCTGTTCCCTAAATTTCCAACCGTACTGGTGTTCTTCGTTCTCTGGTACTTCTTCTCAGCGTCGTCTGTTCCTTTTCATGCCTGACTTCGACTCCCTCTTCTCTTGACAAAACTTGGGACACATTCTCACCAACGTACTCTCTTAGATGGTTACGATGCACCACCATTGGTTTACTGCGACTCGAAAGTTGAATCCTATATACCAAATCGTTAATTCGTTTCAGAATAACATACGGACCGACCCAAGGCTTGGATAGTTTAGGAGATAATCCTTTTTTTCGCTGTGGTCTGTACAGCCATACAGGGGTTCCAACACTCAGTGTTACCGCCGTCGCATTAATATTGTACCTTGTTTTCATCCGATCTGTCGTGATCCTCAACCGTTTCCGTGCAAAATTATGTGCAATATCCATACCCTCTTCCAACTTTTCCACGTAAGACAACGTTTTCACGTAATTCTTCTTAGAAGGAATCCTCATCAGCAAATCCAAAGGGACCCTTAATTCTCGTCCCATCATCACCTTTGCTGGTGTGAGTCCCGTTGACTCGTGGGTTGCTGTCCGATAAGCCATCAGCAATAGAGGTATATGTACATCCCAATCTTTCTGGTTCTCGTTTGCAAAAATTGCCAACTGATGTTCTATAGTTCGATTAAATCGTTCCACCATTCCGTCGGACTGGGGGTGTAGAGGTGCAGTTCTAGTTTTCTTTATTCCAAGCAATTTACACATTTCAGAAAATACCCGAGACTCAAAGTTCCTCCCCTGGTCTGAGTGTAGTTCAACAGGCGTCCCAAAACGAGAAACGAATTCATTTACCAATACTTTCGCTACTGTTTCTGCCTCCTGGTTGGGAAGTGCATATACTTCCGGCCATTTTGTAAAGTAATCCATAGCGATAAGAATATACTTGTTGCCATTCTCCGAAACTGGTAACGGTCCCAAGACGTCTACAGCCACTCGTTCCATTGGCGATCCCGCCACGTAGGAAGCTAATGGCGCCTTTATCTTCCTCGACGTCGGACCTTTTCTTGCAGAACATAAATCACACTGAGCGCACCACTTTTTAACATCATCTCGTAACTTCGGCCAATAAAATTTTCCTTTTATCTTTCCGATTGTTTTATTGATGCCAAAATGTCCTCCCGTTTTCGAATCATACAGCAAGTCAAATATCTGTTTTCGTAGAGTTTTGGGTACCACAATTTGTAAGGTTTCGTCACTGGAGCTTGGATGTTCCCAAACCCGATGCATAATTCCATCGACCAAACGAAGACTGTCCCATTGTGCCCACAGTGTCTTCGTTTCTTCCCTCGAAAGGCGCAACAACTGCCCACTCCGGCCTTTTTTCCCATCTTTCAACGCCTCGATTAACGACTTCATGTTACCATCTTCATCTTGTTTCTCCTTCCACTTATCCACGTCAACCGGAAGTGTTTCGCTATCTTTCTCTACTGATCCCCGATTTATTTCAGTTTCTTTGATAACAGGCCTGGTCACCCTGCCAACTGTTTTTAGCTGAAATCTCTCTTCATAACGTACACATTGCTTGCAGTCTTCCTCAAAGCAGGGACGTCTGGACAAAGCATCAGCATTCCTGTGGGCAGACCCAGATCGATGTTCAACGATAAAATCATAAGCTTGGAGTTTCTCTATCCATCGAGCCACTTGGCCTTGCGGTTCCTTAAAATTCATCAACCACTGCAATGCAAAATGATCTGTTCGCACTCAGAATTTCTGCCCATAAAGATAATAGTTGAACAGACAGAACTCGCCTTCTAAATTAGGATAAGCCAAAATCGGAGTTGACGTTAACAATTGTTTCAATTTCTCGAACGATCTCTGACATTCCTCCGTCCACGCAAATTCACAATTCTCTTCGGTTAGTCGATGTAGAGGTCGGGCAACGTCTGTGAAATGAGGAACGAATCTTCGATAATACGTACATAATCCGAGAAAACTTCTAACTTCAGTCTTATTCTTTGGTTCTGGCCACTTAGAGACCGCATCAGTTTTTCCTGGGTCAACTGCGATACCCGAACCACTCACGATATGTCCACGATAACGGACGGTTCTCTGGAAAAGATGACACTTTCTCGGATTCAACTTTAATCCTGCTTCTCGTAACCTTTGAAAAACAGTTCGAAGATTTGAAAATTGATTAGCTAATGTTCTTGCATGCACGATGACATCATCCAAATATGTTAGGCACACCGTCCACGGCAATTCTTGAAGTACACGCTCCATAAGTCGCTCAAACGTTGCCGGGGCATTCGAAAGGCCAAAAGGCATGACAATAAACCTTCACCAGCTGTGAACGCGGTCTTCTCTTTGTCGCTCTCCTCCATTCTCACCTGCCAATATCCACTCTTCAAGTCTAATGTTGAGAACCAGCTCGAACCATTGATAGCATCAAGAGTTGTGTCTACACGCGGGAGGAGATATGAATCACGTTTGGTTACCTTATTTAACCTTCTATAATCCACGCAGAATCTTTTATTCCCATCTTTCTTCTTAACTAGAACTATAGGAGAGGTCCAGGGACTTTGTGAAAGCTCTATCACGCCTTGGCTTCGCATTTCTTCAATTAACTTGTTTGCTTCCTCCCTCTGCTTTATTGGAAGTCCCTTGGTCGTTGTTTGACTGGAACTGCTTCTCCAACATCAATCTTATGCGTTGTTATGCTTGTGCTGCCTAAATCATTTGGTCCACTTGAAAACATATCCTGAAATTCTTTAAGCAATTCAATCAATTGAGTTTTGTGTCGTTCTCCAATAAAAGTCTTGCTTCGACGGTACAAATCCACAAGATGTTCGGGAAGTTCCCCATCACCTCCGTTGTCTTTATGGATTGTTGCCGAATCTTCTTCTTTGGAAGGTTGATGTTCCAAATTTCTGACACACGCAACAGGTTCACACGTTGCTATTTCTGTCCCCTTCTTCAATGAAATATAACCATTCGTTAAATTCATAACTCTTATCGGTAAATCATCTGCAGATAGGTCAACCAGTGTTCTGGCCACTAGTAGGTTACGTTTCGAGTTTGCCACGGGTTCTAGAACTGCCCAAGTGCGTTGTTCACCACACTTCTTCAGCTTCCCAGGGATAATTGCTTCACTCATCGCTGCCACAGCAACTGTTCTTCGAACAACAATTCGAGTCAATCCATTCACCACCGGTTGCACTTGACCGACCAAAGGAACTTCGTCATCTCCTACCAACAGCAACTTCCCTGTCAGATTCACCTGACAATTGTTAGCCATTAGATAATCCAGTCCGATAATTCCTTCTTCAACTATGTCGGCTATCCACACATCATGCTCCGTCTCACTGTTACCCACGGTTATATTCAACTTACCGCGTCCTCGCACAGGTGCAGTTTCTCCAGTAACTGTCCTTAAAACTGTCTCTGTTGGTAGAATCTTGCCACTTCTTAACTCAATCACGTCCGGACGAACAATTGTAATGTTTGAACCAGTGTCCACTACACACTTACACCACTGTCCTTCTATCTTAGCATCCACCAGCAAGGTAACTCCAACAGAGGAAGTTTTAACCACAAACTCAGGAGCATTTTCACTGTTCTTTTTAGCTGCCCTTCGCTCCTTAAGAGCAGCTATTAAAACGGCGTTTCCCAAATTCCCTTTGGAAGCCTCGCCCGTTTTCGTTTCTTTACCGGCAAACGGAACCCTGTCTCTAGCGGACTCGTCGTTTGTATTTTTAAAGTCTCGTGCCGGACTACGTTTCGGACACTCGTGGCGGAAATGACCTTCTTCTCCACATTTCCAATATTTCAGGTCACGTGGCTCTTTATTTCGAGGTGATTTCTGACATACGTTTCTACGATCTCTCATCAGAGCTTCCAATTTTTTCATCGATTGCGCAATTTGATTACTGGCGGTTTCCATTCTCTTGGCGATATCGAGTGTACTCGTAGTTGTACCCCGTGGTGTGAACTCACTTTGTATTTTTGTCTCACGTGAAACACGCATCCTTTGTTGACGATTGGCAAGGTGGAAAGATTCTAACTCGAGAGCCAACTCCAACGCTCTTTGCAAGGTTTGCGGTCTTTCTTGACGGAGACGCAGGCGCATATCGTCGTCAGGTAAGGAATCGACAAACTGGTTTCGAGCTAAAGTGTCAATTATTGTTGGAGGAGCATCCGTATAAGCCAACCGAGCAAGCTTTTCTATATCCTCGGCCAACGCAGGTAACCCTTCATCACGTTGTCGGACTCGATTTTTGAACTTTACTTTAGAAATCTCTGTACGATGTGACGTGCCAAATCGACTAGCCAGAGGAGCTACTAAAGCTCGATAATCTTGTCTGTGGTCATTGGATAAATTGGCCAACACTTGCAATGCCGTTCCCTTGAGACTGGTTGCCAAGAAGGCTGCCTTTTCCATATCGTCCCATCCGTTCATTTCTGCTATTATGCAAAATTGGGCATTGTAAGCCTCCCATGAGGTTTGCCCATCATATAAATTGGGTTTACGAACTAGGCTGCCAACCCTTGATGTTGAAGCGAGATCTCTAGTACTCATGCTTGGCGCTAACGGGTGATGCGTCCAATCTTCGTCACTTTTATACACCGGCGTAGCCATTGGGGTTGAAATTCTCGGTTCTTTTGGGGTTGGTCGATTTGTCTTAACTTCTTTTTTTTTCTTTTTTTTTTAATAATAATTTAATAATTTAATAAAATACCGATTTGTAACCTATTAGGTTAAATTACATCAGTAAAAAGTCTCATTATACTACAATAGAATATCTAGATACATAAAATTATTCATAACTTCAGTTGAAAAAGTTATAGAGTTCAAATTTAAAAATATTAAAAATATTAAAATTATGGTCTCAGTTCATATGTGAAACCATTGTGGAAAAAACGATTTCATAAATCTGTCCGTTTTACAACTATAGTTATTATAATCGCTTCCATAACGTGTATTATAGTTATGTTCAAGTTTAGGCGGTAAGAGGTCACCCAATTTGTCTCCATGTGCATTTTTAACAAAAAAACGTTCGCATAATAATCGCCGCCGATCTTTCAGTAAGGGTATACCAGTAATACTGCAAGCTTCTCTATAAGTAGCGAATGGCAAGACAATACGCAGAGCCCGCTTCTGGAGTTTTTCGATATCTTCACTTAGGTATTCTGTAATGTTGAAGTGCCAAACTTGGCAGGCATATTCGAGTA